AGTAACAAAGATGGGATATAGCTGAAAGAGAAGGTAAAACAGATACAGCAAGCACAACTGTTGTTCCATACCAAAAGATAACAAACGCTACACCAACAATAAAACAGCATCTCAAACAACAAGAGTATTGGCTTGCGGCTGATTTGCTACAAAATTCCTACCTTTCACATTCTTTGGACAATTTGGACAACGCCATCAAAGAACTAAATTCTACAAAAATATAACCATACCATGCAGAAATTGGCTGTCCCAAAACATACTCGTCTTTCGATGACTTTGGAAACACCCAACGCTAAGATATACACTGTTTATTGGCGCACTGCATGAACCAAAGGTTCAGGTTTTGTGAATAAAATGCTTGCTGCATCATGTCAATGGAAAACGAACCAAGCCTTCAGGTTTAAGCGGTGCACTGCTTGTTCACTGATTTCTGAAGGGAGAAAATATGGACAAAATGTTCCCTATTCATGGCCACACCCTTTGAGCCTCTCATCAGTTATTCGGTAATTGTTTTTTTGCTCTCACATTTTTATTAATAATTTATATATTGAATGCAATCAAAGTGCAAAAGCGGACCACAAACACCAACTGGTGATGGATCACTGCTGGATCATAACAAGAATTTTAACAACTTAAGGGAGGGAGGGAGGCTAGTATTTGCAAAGAGGGGGGTCTAGTCGATCTTCCCCTTCTTCCCCGTGGTCATCTCGAATCGCGAGTCGTAGTTCTTCGTGTCTGCCTCCTGCACCCGCTTTCCCACCTCGTTCTTGCGCTCCTTCGACTTCAGATTCACGAATTCCACTCGTGCAGGATTCAGTGGCTCCTTGTCGACTTCCATGTGGACCATTTTGGTATCGGCGACCGGCTTCTTCTCCTTGGGGTTCTTTAGTCTCTCCTCCTTGTACATCAGTCTCAAGTAGTCGCGGCGGGTCAGCTTCCTCTTCTCATTTGTGGGGACCACGGCCACTGGGGTGGAATCCTTTTCGACTAACTCCTTGAGCAAAGGGCCCCGGTAAACAGGCCAAGGCGCCGATTTGCGCCACTGCGAGGTCTCTGTTTGACCACATTCAGAAATCGGAGTCGGGCCAGGCTTCTGCTCGTTGTGGTCTTTGCTGTAATTGTTGTGCATTTTCTTCATAGCGTCGAACAAAATGTCGCTCTTCTTAAGTTCCTGCGACTGGTCCTTGGTCACCTCACAGACAGCTTTGGCCTTGACTGAAACCACGAGGGCGGATGGTTCTTTTTTTGCGACGGTCTTCAACACGTCAGTAGTCTGGGCATCCACTAGGGAACTAGACTTGGACCAGCGGAGTGGCCTCACGGAAAAGTGCCGCAGCGGACCTGTAGGTTTAGGAAATCGACGGTGATAATTCCCCGAAAGGTCCCCAATAGGAGTACCATGGAAATACTCACCGCGAGACAGAATATGAAGAATCATCCTGCTTGATCTGATGATTTTTCGTTACAGTATAGTTAAATTTCAAAAAAAAATTCAGGTTTTCAACTTTTGGGAATTAAATTTTCTGTCGAGTTGTTTAGTTTATTCGTGACTGAGTGAAATGCTTCTCAGGCAGTGAGGTTCTGTCTGCCGCATATACAGCCTGCTGCGATAAAAACTACAGTTCCTTTGGACTTTCACTTTTCTCTGTTTTCATTTGATGTATAAAAGCAAGTGCGGAGTCAAATACTTCAAGCGGACTGTTTGTTTTGGGAACAGCTTGAAATACGTAAATATTTTGAGCACTTAAGCCACGTTTGCTCGTCGTTTCAAATGTAGTTTGGAGAACTAGCTACCCTTTAATCTTATAAACCCGATACTCAGTCAGTGATTTTAGTTGGACAAGCAGGGCAGACCGCGATCTCTCTCAATTTTCCATACATACTGTAATGATTTAAATATTTCTCCGTTGATTTTCCTCGTTTAAATGCCCTTTTCCATTTACATTTTATCGCCTTTATCGATATTTTACAATCAGCCTCAGAGAATAATCAGCTAATGCGTTGCATATTTCGATACAACGAAGGCTGTAACCCAAGGCCGCACACAAGCAGCATTCGTTTGCCCAAAAATGTAAGTATCTACGACTGAGTGTCCACCTCCTCCGACTCCACCACCACAAAGCTAACTCTCCCTGCCCAGTGCCTCCATTTGTACAGGGTTTCGGGGCTAAGCTGAGCAATAAGCAGGCAATAATCACTTGCAGTTAATTAACATATTATCGCAAATGCAGCTGCAGTTGCAGTAGAAACAGCAGCAGCAGCAGCAGCAGCAGCAACAATTGCAACAAGAACGCTTAGATGCTGCTGCTGCTGATGCACTTTGGTAATGCACTTCAAAGTGCTTACACATCAATGCAATGGGCAGCCTCTCATTTACATGCATATAGCATATACAGCAACAATAATTACATGTGCCGGATCCCCACCGTCCCCCGTCCCACAGCCTTCGCATTCGCCTTCGCCGCCCCCAAGCAATCTCTTTCAGGCCCATGCCCAGGCCCATACCCCGGTCGGTGGGCGTTGGGAGTTGGGCGGTGGCAGCATCCAAGTGATTGTAATTCATTAGTAGACAACAACCAAATGCATTTCCCATGTGCCTGTGTGTCCGTATCTTTGTGTCTGTGTTTCCGCTTCAATGCAGCTGCAGTTGCAGTTCCACTCCCACTGTTGTACGCTTGTACGGTTGCACAGTTGCACGGTGCAGTGTTGCAACTGCAGCTGCTGATGCCGCCATTTTATCTAATTGCGTTGCCATCACTCCCTCGCTACGTCCCTCCTTCCCTGTGTCTCCTCCAACTCCCTCTCTTCAATACGCATACGCCGCGTGGTCCATATCATTAAAATTACGAGTGCTGCGCACCAAAAAAAACAACAAAAAAAAAAACAAAAAGGGTTGTGTAGCCAAGGCACAGCGAGGGCGGGCTCAGGAGTTTGCCGAAGGCACTAAGAAAGGTTAAAGTGGAATTTATTCGGTATTAAACGAAAACTAAACTAAAAGAAACCAACGATCGGTGTACCTACCACTCGTATTAGCTGGGAACAAGGCTTCTGCTGAGTTTTCTACCCACATGCACATATCAGTTCATATCCGTCGAGCCAGCCTCGTAGACCCTCATCTCTTACTTTTCTTTCTGATTGGCCCTCATAAATTTGTTGCATAGCGGAGCGCCCTGGAGTGTCTGCAGCCTTGACAACTGCAAGTGGCATTAGTTGTAGCAGCAGCCAACAGCAAACGGCAACGGCAACGGCCAATGCCAATGGAAAACAGCGAACAACAATTACAATTGCAGGCTTTGCATTACTTTTTCCTAGTACAAGGGATTTGCATTTGTTTGCTAATTGAAATTAAGCAAATAATGCAGAAGGAGGGGCCTGCTAGACCCCCCCGAGTATCCCCAAATTCCAGGGAGAAGTCGGATAGAGAGAAAAAGGGGGACTTGACCCACGTAATCCTTTTGTAGCGCATTAAAACAAGATGAATCCGTCCCCCGAAAGACAAAACAAAAAAAAAAGAAAAAAAAAACAGAAAATAAAATAGAAAGGGTTTCCCGGCTGGGTTAAATAATTTAAATCCATTTGTAGAACATTTGATGCTGCTGCCTTTTGGCAATTGTCACGCCGCCCTTTATATTTTTTCTATTTGCTGCCCCCCCTTTCCACCCCCAGATAATTAGTAAGGAAAAAGCGAGCGAATCGCAAAGGCGGAAAGGGAGATCCCCATAATCAAATGTTTAAAAAAAGATTTGCCAAAGTAAATCCCAAGGAATTATTTGCCACTTGAAACGTTTAAAAATGTCAAACAAGTTTCATGGATAGATGTTCGGCTGGTTGGAGGGTAGAGGCCGAGGCCGAGGCCGAGTCGAAGCTGATGCTGATGAGGGTGCCCCAAAAGACGTCTGCGACCCTCCGCCCCCAAAAAGCAATCTCTCGCCTTTTGAGGGGTCAGACAAACTTAATGAGCAAATTGTCAAATGCCGCGGCAAAGCGAGCACTTAGACATGCCCGGGGACACCATACCAAGCCCCCTACCATTCCCCGGCACGGGCTGCGGAAATGAAAAATAACTTGGCGAAAGCGGAGACCCTGATAAAGCTGCACAGCAAAGGAAAAGTACAAAGTTGTCGCTGTTGTTAGCCATGTTTTGTTGGGGATTTGAATAAACAGTTACGCTGATTTAATTTGGCCAAAAAAAAAAAAAACAAAAATGAAGAAGTCTAAGAAAAAGAATAAGAAGGAAAACCGAAAAGCGAGAAGAATGGAGACGGGAGACAGGAGACGGAAAATTCTATCACAGTATGTTGTCTGTCACCCTCGATTTGATTTTTAAATTGCGTTCGTGATAAATTGACGAAATGAACAGCAATAACGCCCCAAGAGCGCCAGCCCACCAGAACCCCAACCCCAACCCCAACCCCATACCCAAACACGAAAAAAATCTCAAACAAAATTGACAACTGTCAAGACTGTCTGCTGTCTGAACGCCGCGGCGTTGCCGCCGATCCGCCACTCCCCAATAGACATATAAAAATTAACTACAGACTACTTATCTTATTTGTTGATGCCAGCGACGAGTCATGAGCCTCAGTCGCAGTCGGAAGGGGACAGGACAGTGTCAGGACAGGGAAGGACAATATGAAAGCCGGAATCCCCAGGAGTTTGTCAGCGGCTTTTGATGTGTCTGAGCGTGAGTGTGTGCGTCTGTCTGTTGGTGTGACAATATGCGTAGATAACATGCGATGACTGGGCAGGAAGCAAGCAATCAACTCAACCGATACGATATTCTGAATGGAAATGACCAAAAGCCAAGGAGGAAACACTACAGAAAAAGGTCTTGACGGGGGCTCAACTTATGTCTAAAACCAGCTAAAAAGTACTGACATTTCCCATCTCCAAACTTGTTCTTTCAGCACTCTGAACTATAATAGTTTTTTGTAGTTTAAGCTGTGGATATATTTATGGGCCTCCATAGTGGATCTGACTTTGCTATGGCCTTTACTTACCTCTTCCGCTCCTTCCCACAAATCGAAGATCATTGAACTTTGCCACTTGGTTCTTCATCACCGCCGTACAGTTGCGCAGCTCTCCGCAGAAATTCTCATCGTTGCCCGCCCGAATGGTGACTATTGTCCCATCCATGACCTCGCCCAAGGCCAGCACCTTGAAGGCAATCGGCAGCGTCTTGTTTGATCGCCAATGCGTGGGTAATGTGGTGCAGACCTGAATCAATTATGCATTAATTATCCAAATTATGTTGAGAATTTTGGCAACATGTTATCGACATGGAGTCAGCGATTTAATGCCACTTACCACATGGGGTGAGCCCGTCTTGACCAGCTCGCCGGGATGTTCGGCGAGCAGGACGTCGACGGTGCGCTCGATGAGGTTCTCTGGTGTCAGGTATGGACTAGTGTCCACTGGTTTTGTCTTGGCATTGTTACTACTACTATTATTATTATTATTATTACTGTTGTTGTTGTTGTTGTTGTTGCTGCTGCTATTATTATTGTTATTATTGGAGGAGGACTCTGCATTACGCCGCTTCGTGGTGCTGCCGCCCGTTGTTGTCGTTGCTGTTGGAGTCGTTTGCTGTTGGTGTTGTTGGTGCAACTGTTGGTGAAGCTGTTGTTGTTGCTGTTGCTGCTGTATTTGATTTGAGGTGGTCGAACTGACCTCAGCAGAAATGTGCATTATTGCAGCTGCTTATAGTCGGTCCAAGGTATTCAGGGCCTCTCTCTCTGGTTTCAGCTTTGACTACGTCCTTTCAGGCTGTACACGGCTGCTGTTGTGCTCCTGCTGCTGCTGATGGTTTGGTTTTTGGTTTGATTTCAATGTTGCCTCAAAGAGTCGATGCTTTCAATCCGATCATTGTCAGCTCATTTGGTCAATCTGGAAAATTAATGTGGATTGCGAATGAAATTCGGATTGAAAATGCTCCGTGTGGGGCTGTTCTTTGAACTGAAATTCACTGGAAATCGACTTTAACAAAGAAATGTCGAGTTTTTGCACCAAGATCTTGTGCTGAAGCGCTTTCAGGAGTTGGTTTTATCAACAAAATAAACGCATAAAAGACGAAATTAAAAGATCCCATGACAATTTTTACTATTAAAAAAACTACACTCTCGCAAAAGCTTTGTAGAAACCATTTTTTGGAATGCGCCCAACGTGAGAATATTAATTTGTGTTCTGTTTTTTTTTTTTTTTTGTTTCTGTAATATCCTCTTTTGTTAATTTCCTTTCCTTTGTATTCACACTCGCTGCCCGCATAAGTATGCTGCATTCTTTTTTTTGTTGCTGCTGCCGCTGTCATCGCTGACAACAACTCAATTATTATTGCACTTTAAACCAGAACAGAACAGAACAGAACAGAATCGGTGGCCGATATCTGTATCGTATCTGCATCTGCAACTCCACCTGCATTTGTCTCTGAATATGGCCAAAAGCGACATGGACTGGAACGAACCCGATACCAAAACCGAATCGAAACCAAACCAAACCAAACCAAACTGAACCGAATCGAACCGCACACCTTTGCGCACAATTTGCATTTAAGCCGACATCGGCGAGAGCAGCTCAATTAAATATTAAAAAATCATAGCCAATAATGATGAAGAGCTGCATCTGAATGGGAGGATGTGTATGGAGTCAGCTGAGCCGTGGACCATGGGCCGCAGCATAAACTAAGATGTATGACGGCATCTGTTCCGTGCCGCATGCGAAACAAAAACAACAACAGAAAAAAGTTCATTTCATGTTCGTCAAATGGGAAAAAAACGAGAGAAAAATTATCGAAAGCGCCAGATGTTGCCAGCCTGTGTTTGGCCACCAAAAAATCAACAATGCTCTTTGTCCCCCACACAGACCCCATATCCGTGCCCATATCCTCGTACACGCAGTGTGGGAGGGGTTATGGTAGCTCTTGTATAAATAAAAATCATTTGCAGGACCCAACCAGTCGCGTTTGGTTTTCGCCACGTTTCTTTTTTACCAACTACTTTTGTAGATTCCCTCTTTAAACGGGAGGACTTAAAACTTTGGTCTGGCTTTTGTCAGATCCTGGGGCAAAACATAATCTTCCCATTCGGGAAGTTTTTCTGTTTAAATAAGACCTTAAGGATAATGCCAATAGGTACCAGTACGGGGAAAAAGTAAAAAAGAAACACACTCCGAAACTGATCTGATGATCGAAATAATTGCTTCTAAGAATAGCGAATAACAAAATATATTAAATAAATTAGCTTACTAATGCATGTCAAATATTGTTCAGATTTAGGATGAAGAAGAATTAACAGAAACAATAAATAATACAAACAAAACACGGATACAACGCAAGTAAAAGTGGAGCTTTTTTTTAGTTCATTTGAATAGACAGAAAGGCACGGTATCAAACGGTTCAATGAATAGTTTGCATTTGTTCTGATGGGAAAACTCTTCCTATTCAGATATACCTCCTTTCAGCCTATGATTTGCCTTAATTGTGAAAATTAAGAATGATTTTTCGCTAAAGTTAAAATTTTATGCACTTTGAGATTGCATATTTGACAAAACCACAGAGTTTGCAACTAACGATTAAGCCTAGTGCAAATTGCTCAAGAAAATTACCCAGAACGACGAAATTAGGATAACAATTTTAGACCTTATTTAGTTTACAAAATTTAAAAAAAATAATTCAATAATTTTACGCTTCTAAAAATAAGCCAATCTTATAGAAAATTATGTTTTTATCGGATAGAATAATTCTTCGCAATGGAAATACACTTAAAACAGCAGTAAACTGAAAAGTAGGTCCGTCCCTGTATACCTCAGGCGTAAGAACGATCGATCAGCTGCACTTCAGGTAGGAACATATGGTTACCATGTTGTAGATCTCTGTGTACATTGATCCGCAAGGGTATTTAAAGCTTCGTAGCATTAGAAGCAGACCATTCCCTTGTGTTTCGTGCTGTAGAACCAAGTGTTGCCTGTTCATATACACACACACACACACACACACACTGACGCATGAGGAATCTGTAGTTCATATGTATATGTATTCCCTTTTTTAACAACTTCCGCTTTGAAATGTATAAATACATATATGCATATATATATTTATATACATTTTTTTCTGCCGCTGAATGCAGCTGTCCGCTGGCCAAATGAACTGGCCAAGCGACTATGTGGCGACATATGTGGCCACAGATACGAGAGACAATGGCAGTGGCCGAGCGACATTGGAGGAGGGCGGGCACCAGCAGAAGGTGGTCTATATAATTGGTTAACAAACAAGTTGGTTGGTTGCGGGGCTAGCCACACAATTAGATCAACAAATGCAAATAACTTTTGTGGGGAGATAACTGAATTAGTCGGTCAGGACAGAAAAATAGCAGTGCATACCAAACGATACATAATACAAACAAAGAAACATCACCGCTTAATTAAAATAAATATTTCAAAATGAATACCAACAAAAATGATCAAATATTCCAAAAATAGATCAAAATGAAAAATTCCAAAAGCCTTTGGCTTAAACTTAAATCAGGGGAGTAGCAGATCTTCTGCAATCGGATTTAAGTACCCTTGAAAATTATGAAAACTTGACGAATTTCTGCGCCAAACTTGAAAAAGATGTCGCAATAAGTCTTTCTATTAAGTAAAGAGAAGAGCTCAATCTACAAGTCAAATTTTCAAAAATGATTTCACATGGGAAAATAATGGCTTTTAAGTGGTTGGAGCGAGGAAAGTTCCAGGTGTCCAGCTCAACAAGATCTTGACATCCTTCCACCGGCTAATCACTCTTTTATTTGATCAGATACTAAGCACTGAGCTTGCGATCAGAAGAACCAATTGAAGAAATAATAGTTTATGAGTGTATGTGATTATTTACTTCTGATAGAAAGGCCGTGACTTGTTGAGAGCCACATAGGCTTCACGATTCCTTTTATATCCACTAGAAACTAGTGACGCGCGTCATGTGGCAGTGCCCCTCGGTCGATTGGCCGGAAGGAGGGCTGCGTTTCTGCTTGGGATCCGCGCCTAACAGGTTTCGGTTGCGGTGTCTCAAGGGCCAAGAAACATTACATCATTGATATCAAAAGTTTTTTCACTCCGGTGATCCTTGGCATTAAACTGCGAGTCGAGTGACAAAGAAAGATATGAAGACCTCTAGTAATGTTGAGGATCTGTCTACATATCCACCAATAACTTCCACCACATCTTTCCTTATATCCGTAACTTGCTTGTGATGTTCTTTCACATCCCAAGTATCTCCATATATGATGATGATGATCCAAACCATATTGATTCCGATTTTGGGCTCTTGAATATTCCCCTATATTCAGCCCATTGATCTTTAGTATAATTTCACGTAATTTGACATAATTTTGGACCCTTTTTGGTTGTCCAAAGACATCCTACCATCAGCGATCACGTTCTTTTGTCCCATCAACTTACATTTATTGATTTTTTGGAGATTTTCCACTTGTCCGCAGCACTCGATATCGGGATTTCCCTTTGGTTGTGGCACAGGAAACACTTGAAAAAAATGATTGAATTTTGTGGCACTTCTAAAATATCAACTTCCAGAATGAATTATAAGCTATGAGATTTATAAGAATTTGTCGAGCAGACGGCACACTAACACAGAAGACACTAGCACGAGCACACACACACACGCGCGCCTGCACACACGTACAGGGAAAGTGAGAGAGAGAAAGAGAGAGAGAGAGAGAGAGGCAGGCGAGCGAGCGAGCGAGAGCGGGAAATTGTGGCTTAGATTGAATTTGGGACTCTGGATCTGAGGCCGAGGCTGAGACTGAGACTGAGAGACTGGCAACTCTGGCGATCGAATCAAACGACACGGAGATATTAAACTATTTTTTGCGGTAACCATGAACGCGACCACTACGAGCGGTTGGCAACGCCGACCACGGCGTCGCGGCGACGCCAGCCGCGGCAGCGCCAGAGACAGAGAGCGACGACGCAGCACAGCCAACGAGCAGGACGAGGACGAGGACGAACGAGCTGGGGGCGGGGTGGGGGGAGGCAGAATGTTAGCGACGCCTCATCATAATCATGGACGAAGGGTCCTGGGTCCCGGGCCCCGGGTCCAGCCACCCACTTCCACTCCAAAAAACGCTGCTGCGACATTACCCCGCCCCCAAATTGATGGCGGCAGCAGACGCCCTCGTCTTTCTTTTTTTTCTGCTCTTGCTGTTGCTGTTGCTGTTGCTCTTGGGGTATATAATTCTTTCTTTCGTTTTGGCTTAACATTTACCGCGAGAACCAGTAGCAGTGGTTTCTCCAAGGCAGCGACGCTGACGCAGAAGTCGGCCGCGCAGTTGGCGCCGGCAGCGAGGCAGAAAAAGAAAAGCTAAGACTAAGGCAAACGAAAACCGAAAACCGAAAACCAAAACCAGAAAACGTCAACTACACCACAAGCAGAAAGGCCGCAACGACATCTTCAAGTTGGTCCACCTCAGCATTCACCACACCACCCACCACCCACCACCCATCACCCGGCACCCACACAAGCAGCAGTCCCCCCACCTTGGGCCCCCCACCATAAAACTCGAGCTCAAGTCGCGGCATAGAAAAATGCGCTCAATTTTTTGGCGCACCTTTGGACCAAGCAGCGCCATAGACTGGAAAAAATCTTGAGAATGAGAGTGAGACCAGCCTGAGAAGCAGAGAGCCAGAGGGTGAGTCCTGTCTTGAGTTGAGTTTTCCCCAGTCTTGGAAGGCGCTTCGGCGTGGTGAACTTTCGATGTGTGTGTGTGTGGGGGGGGGGGGGGGGGGGACACCTCT